AGTATTACCTTGGACCAAACCAGTACCACAGCCATTGGGTTTTTTAATGTTATTTTTTGAATAGAATAGTAATGTAGACATTCGTAGAGAAATTTTATCAATGCAAAACAAATATCGCCATCAAATTCCACCATTTTTAACATTTGGTTAGATTTCTCTCTGTGTTGTCTTTTTTAAAATAAAATGGGGATCACATCTTATATGCAACTTAGCATATTATATTGTTTACTTTGAGAGTAACTGTTTTCTGTGCATTTAAAATATTCTTCAAAAATTATTTCAGGGCATCACAGTATTGCATAATTAATATATCCATTCAATTTTTCAAAATTCTCTCTAAATTCCTACAATAACCATCGTTACAAATATTAAAATGTTTGTCAATAATTTTATTCATGATATGTACCCAAAAGAGGCATTAGAGTATGAAAATTTTAAGCTCACGATCCATATTACTATATTACTTTTGAGAAGAGGTAAACCAATTTACTCTTTGACTATCAGAAGAGGAGAGCACTCATTCGCCAGCTGCAGAATTCTTAAAAGTATTCTGGCTGCCTCCACTAGTTCCCATCTCTAATTCCTCTGCGCTTCACAAGCAACTTTCTAAAACACAGTTATGATTATAGGCACTCAAAAAGTCCCAGTGATTCCCTACCACCCACAGAGTAAAATTCATACCTCTGAGTGTGGCATCCAAGTCCTCTGCAAAAGAGTTGCAACTTCTTTTTTCTCCTTTTCATGTCTCCCTTCCCTTCACCCTCCAACCTAGACCAGCCGTTTCACTCGGGGCTATACTTAGAATCACCTGGAGAGGCTCTCACAAACACACATGCTCGAGTTCCTTTTCACACTAATTAAATACAAACCAGGAGCTGGCTTCTTTAATTCTCCACCAGATGATTCTAATAGACGGCCAGTGTTTAAATCACCACAAGCCAGCCCATTCTTCCTTAAATGGAAACACTGGAAGAATTTTTGTCAAAAAGGCAAATTTTCAGACCACACTTCAAGTGTACTAACTCTGACTTTTTAGGGTTAGAGACCAGGAATCTACAATTTAACAAACCTGCAGATTCTATAGCTTGAGAACTACACTCTAGTTACACAATACCATTGTCATTTTCTTACCGAAGTGCCACATTTCTCAGCTCTATAATATATGTCCTCTTTATACTTCTTGCTTACAGTCTGTTCTGTATCTTCCTTAATCCCGATCTCTTCCCTACCCCACTCCGACCCCCCACATAAATCATATCGTTTTTTATGTCCAACTTAAATGCTAGTTCTTCAAGTCAGGTTTAACTGTTCCAGCATTTTTTTTGCTTTCTGTGTTTGTTGTTTATGTCCTTATTATATTTCTCCTTGCCAGTCCTGTACTAAGCGTAATTGTGTAGACTTTAAGATCTACTCATAGAAATGACTCTTTCACGTGTAGATACAATATCTGATTTACAAGAACATCTCCACAACATCTGGTGCATTTTTCTACATAGAGTAGATATATGCTAAATGTTTGAATTGAATAACAAAGTATTTTTAGCCTGTGCTCTCCGTGATAAATAATTACCAAACACTACTCCATAATGTTTTTGACAAAGAGAAGCAATGCTTTCTTTTTTTATATATAAATCTTCAAATATCTCATGATTTGATAACATCTTTTTTGCTCTGCTAAATCAAGTGGGTTTTTTTTTTTTTGTCTACTTAATAGTTTACACATGTGATCTTAGTGAAAGGGTCTACCCCAGTTGTTAGCCATTTATTTAGAACATGAATTTTCATGCTAATCATTTAGATATATCAAAACACAGAAAACGTTAGTGGCAATGATTTAGAGTTTTCTGTTTCTCTAGTATATGAGCACTGGTGAAAGTTTAAAGTGGGATCTGGTATTCCAGAGAGAAAAGAAGCAAGTCAGTCAGTGCACATCCTCCCATTAGAAAGAAATGAATTCAAGAAACATTCACAAAGCCATTCTCCAGCTCTGTCCCCCTGAGAAGGCCATGCCCAATAGAAGCTCATTCATTAAGCTTTCCAGAAAACCAGAGGCACCCTTTCTACCTCAGTGCTTCTAAAGCACTGAACATCATTCACACCGTATATATTATGTCTTCCCCTGCCCAATGGTCATTCATGGATATCTCAACACCTCTTACCAGACTCTAAACTCCTAAAATTAGGGACCAGGTGTTTTCCATGTTTGTGTTTCTTACAATGCCCATGATGTTACCTGGCACGCAAAACGTGTAGATAAACCTGGGATAAATGAGGGATTAAAGACAGTAAATCAATTTTGTTGAATTACAGGTATGAGGTAAGAGTTTTCAATCTCATTTATCCAAACCACAAGGTAGCCTTCATTTCTAGAAAAACTGTCACATCATAGAGAAGCAAAGAATGGTCCTGTGAGCATGGATACTGAGAGGAAATAATTTTCCTGCTCTTTAGCTTAGGTAGACAGAACAGGGAGGTTGCTGAGAGCAGGTGTGAATTGTGTGTAAAGCACTTAAATAGCCCATGCTTTAGTTTCATCTTCTATAATTGTGGGCTAAATTTCTATCTACCTTATAGGGTTGTAGTGAAGATTGAATTACTTAATATGTGTAAAAGCATCTAGTGTAGGACACATGGTAAATAATCAATTAATGGTATTTAATTGTTCTAATCCTTTCTTTCTGTCTCACAAAGATAAAGGATCCTGGGAGTCTGTTTTTCAGAAACACGTGGTTCTAGAAAATAAAACCAGAGCATAAAGTATACAGTAAATATTAATGTGCATGCTTGACATGAGTAACAAATACACGCTGTGTACTTCTGTGAGATGGGCTGGATAATAAGAGTGGATAGTAGAAAATCTGAAAGAGGACTCCTCAGCATTATCAGTTTCCATTCAGGTTCTGCTACTTGTCGGTTGTTTGAACTTAGGTATCTATTCTAACAGACCACTCTGGGAAAACAAACACCAATGTCTTATCCCATTGGACAGACAGAGGAGCTCTTCTGCTTGACTTGCCACCTGAAGATAAATAACTGGCCTTTAATCGATGGAACACAATTACTGCGGCATCTGAGAATTCAAATGCCAAGTGTCCATTACACAGAGCTTGTACAATTATCAAGTATAATTACATACAACCAGCCCATACAAAATTGCCCACACTGTGTGTTGCTTCTATTCGTATCTTCTCAAAACTTTACTCAAAACATACTCTTGACACTTAAGAGTATGATTGATGAAAGGCAAGAAAACAAAGTAAGTTGCCTTTAACTGTGATGTGACAATGAAACTAAAATGTGTACGCAACAACCCAGCAACTAGACATGCATCAAGAAATGGAAAAATACATTGGGAAAATATATGCCAAGCTATTTATTATCTCTGGTGGTAAAAACTACTGATTCTAAATGTGTTCTGTTGAACCACACAAAACTTAGAAATGTATAGAATTGCCCTCTCCTAGCATTCTATGGAGGGAAGTAAACAGGAAAGACTTGATTAAAAAAAAGTAGTTCCTGAGCTTTAGGAAGCAGATGTGTCATGAGGTCTTAGAGTTTCATGTTCTTAGCTGAATAGGCGAGGTGGAAAATACTGAGGGTGGGAGATTCTTATTAAAATGCAAACAAAGAGCAAGGATTACAGAGAAATCAACAACCTATGATACATTTCAAAGTAAAAAGTAAACAGACTTAATAACAGAATAGAGTTGGGGGATAATTTTTAGGAAACATGAAGACATAAGATCTAGGATGTTGGCCTTGGAGATGAGAGAAAATTGTAAACTGAGACACATATATTTGTAAAAGTAAATATCCAGAGAATAATAATAAAAAATCTTGGCATTTTAAGTCTAAAAGGTTAGCAGTACATCCAAAGATAAGAGTTGTAACTAGGACTACAATTTAGGAGTTCTCTGTACAGAAAAATTACTGCGATGGAAATTCCATTTTTTTCTTCTTTCTCAACCCCATCAAACTAACTGTATCTGCCTTGAAACTTATATTGAGAAGGAGTCCAAGTCCATGGCTGGACTGAGCAGGAAAGGCTCCATGGTCAATCAGCAATGTCGATCATTAAATTTGGAGGCAAGAGTGACATTGAGGACCACTCATCTGCCCTCACAAAAGATGGTGCTAAGCTACTTGGGCACGGATGAACACAGAGCCTCAGCTTTTCCCAGAGCTGAGTGTGAGAAGGAACTGAGCAACCCCACAAACAGAGATTTGGCAAGAAATTCAGGCAGGTCCAGAGTCATAGAAACCAAGGGAGGAGAGAAGGCCATAAAGGAGGTTGTGGTGAACACAATCACATTCTACAAAGTAGTAGGAATGAGATGAGCCTGAAAACAAGCCCTGGAGTGAACAGTGACAAGTTTCCCATGTGCCTTGGGAAAGACTGTATCATTTCAGGAAGCAATGAAATGGACCCTGTAAAGAATTAGTTTCTATGTACCACACAATTAAAGAATTATGAAGTCACCTCTTATTACTGTATGTCATTAAAAACAGATCATAAGTTTGGATAACAGAAACCTTAGGGGGAAAAATACTCTAAGGTTTGCTTTTTAAAAATTGAATAAGGGTGTTTTCTAACCTTGTTTTAAAATTATGGTTAAAGCCCCAATGAATGCAATTTTAAGATATGGTATTATTATTTTTTATTATAAAAACTAACAAATTTACACTACATTAATACCTTATAGAAGAATTTTCTTAAAGCAGTCACCATTATACAGAATCCGACATGCGTTCTTACTTAATTAGTGCATAAATAGAGTAGGGAGGTTGCTTTAAAGCATGTTTGAATTGTGTGCAAAGTATATAACTACTCCATGCTTTAGTTTTCTCTTCCAGAAATTGTGGACAAAAAGTGAAAAGAAAAGAAAAGAATATGTCTAGGAAGATGTTCAGGTCCACCATCTGTCTGAATACCATAGGCACCTGGCTAAGAATAAGCCATTTCCAGAAAAGAAGCCCTCATTTCCTCACTGTGATGTTGAGGTGTCTGTTGAGATAACATCATTAAATTAAGAAATGATACTTGCCAGTGTGCTCTGGCCCTTTAACACCACTGACGTCCTGACTCACTAAAGCACCATGGAAACGAGAATAGAACATAGGAACAGCTGGGAGCACCCAAGACACTGGCAGTTGGAAAAGTGATGGAGGACAAGTAGGACCTCGGGGGCAAGTAAAAGCAAGAAGCACTTGAAAAAGGAAAGAAATGTTAAGATGACCTGGAGGGAAGAAAAAGAGATTTGGGAGAAGAGTAAGTTAAAAGTAACACAAGTTATTATTTGATATCCACAACAACAACAACAAAAAGAAGGAAAAAGAGCCATTTCTGATGTTTTTTAGAGTAAAAAAAAAATCAAAATTAGTTACTTCAAAAATTTACTGTTATTATACAAGAAATAGTATTAACTTTTAGTATACTGAGTAAAGATTAAGAAATTAAGACTTAAGAATTTCCCAGATTTTTTAAAATTTCACTGACCAGTAAAATTTATAGAAGAAATTGGGAAATTACCATAAAATACCACTTTTTAAAAATTTGACAAATTAAGGACAATCTATAATTATCATTACATATATGAAATTTTAATGTGATGCCGATGCTATGGTCAGTGACTGTCAGGAGCTTGTGTATAGGTATGTGTATATTCATGTGTGTGTATGTATGTGTGATTCAAGAATGGGGGCTGAGAAAAAATGCACTATAAATTGAAGGAGAAAATAGTAATGCAAACAAAAACAGAGTTTAACTTACTCTAAAGTATGTTCTTTCTTCTCCCCACTCCTCAGTGTATTAGAGGGTTTTCCCCTACAATGTGAATGTTAGTTATTTCATTATAATCTTAAAAAAAAATCTCTATAATTTGAATCTTGTTTTAACATTCTGTTTTATTTCAAAGTATTGTTGATAACACTGGGAAGGGATTTTGCTATGCATTAGCATTTGACAAATGGGGCAAACTTTATTTACTTGTTTGTTTGTTTGGTCAGAAGAAATAAAAAAAAAGAGTTCATCACTGAAGAGATATCCTGATAATGTAAACATTGTGATAAGCTAAAAACTGGAACCATCTAGAAGAATAAGACCCATCATGTCCTTCTCAGGCCATGCCCAAAAGACCAGCAAAAGGACTTTTCCAATGGAATCTGTTCTAATGCCCCAAGTTCCACGTGGCAATTACTTGCATCTTCAGGAAGAGAAGCAAAGACTACAGCTCAAGAAATTCCTTCTTCATAGGATGTTTCTTGTGGCCAAGATAACAGCAAACACAGAAAAAAAAATTATTGCTGACTACTATGAACAAGTGCTTCAGTCAACTTTAAAACTTCACAAAGGAGAAGCAGTGACAGGGTTTTTGCTCATCTATCCTACTTCTATTCTGCATATTCTTGAGTCCTCCAGTGATACGCTTTACCAAATTCTTTTAGATCATCTTGACCAGAGAAAGAATGATACAGAATTTTTTATCCAAGGAATGAAAATTATAGTTGTGTCCCATAACATCCCGACAAGACTCTTCATGCAATGGCATGTATCAGAAATAAAAGCTCCAGTCATGTATCTCGATGATGTCACACAAACACAGTCCCTAGAAGAGGTCATCACCGAGTTTCTCACCCAGACTCATAAACTGGCAATTCACCTTTTAAAGACTGTGAAAGTGAGTGCTAAAGGACCATGGGATAACTTGCACCAACTAGCACCTGAATTGCTCATCCCAGAACAAATAATAAAGTACTTGTGCAAATCTGAAGAATTCATGGATCCAGAAGCTTTCCTAAACATGTATAATAAACCCATACATATCACTTTGGATTCTGAGGTGGTATGGCCTGCTCCTTCCCATTTCTAGGATTGAGAGAGATGTGGTTAATGTGGTCCAATCTCTCAAGGAATTGATGCTACTTAAATAAAAAGAAAACACTTCTGAGGGGACTCTTCTCTTGAAAAAAGAAAGGACCATATGCCACAATATACACAAAGGTAATACATGAATCTTTATAGAGTATGTTGAGCTAAACTTGAAAATATACATTATTCTGATAGCAAGTTCAACACATTGTTTTAATAAGTGGATGGGATTTAATAAGTTAAGGATTGCTCAAAATTGAACATCATCTTGATGAAATGACAATTTTTTGAAGAGAAGTATAGACAATAAAGGATACATTCAGATTCATATTCTCATTCATTCTTTCAACAGTCAATGAGAAGCTGCACCACCCAGAATCAAATTTCAGGAAAAACAATTTTGTTCTTGGAATATAAAATTTAGGGGGGAAATACCATCATTGAGTTGCTTGCAACGTACATTTAGAGGAAAGTATGTGTAAAAGTAAATATGGTACGATATGATATGATCATTATTTTAGTTAGTAGTAAAAGCCTTAAAGGAATAATCTCTATATTATTACTGAACTCAGAAAACAAAGCGTAAACTTTGAAAATAGTTCCAAAGTTCACATATTCTGAACTGTCTAATCAAGAATATTGAGGCCATTACAAAGCTGAGCAACAACAAAAACTGAAGAACACAGTAGCTTTTTGAAACAACCAGAAAATACATTGTCAGAAGGCACTGCATCTTTCATGCAAAATCATTTTTTGAACACCCTTCATGTGACAGACATTTGCCAGATGTTAGGGATATGGCAGGGTGCACAGAATGCGTGATTCTTGCCCACTTGCAAAACACTTATAAAGGATTCCACATAAGATACACAAATGATTTTTTTTCCAATTTATGTCCTATAAGGCAACTAATGATATGTAGTTTCTATATGATCTATTTTAAGTTGCTCTCTCCCTTCCCTCACCCAGGATTAATGTTTTGAATATTTAAAATTTTGTAGTTTGTTTAAACAATTAACATCAATATCTTGACAATTTCAGTGATATCTATCCAAAGTTATTTCAACGTCTTATGAAACAGGCTTTTATTTAGTAGAAGAAATATGGTTGCATCATTTCACTTTTTTATTATTTGATCTTCAGCCTCTTCAAGGGAAAAAGAGCAATCTCAAAATACACCTCAGATTTGTCATATGCAGATAATTTGTCATCACTTGTTCCATATAAGAATCAAAATTCAGGAAAGACTTTCTATTTTTAAATTCTGTAATATAGATTTAGACACAGAATGGCATATTTCACCGTTAGCCGAACTCGAAGTTCTGTTCATTTAAATTTAGTAACTGAAAGGGTACATTCTAGATAAAATGTGAAGTAATTCTTCTGGTTAAGAAAGATTAATAACATACAAACATTTTATCAGTTTAGTAAATATTAAACACCTAATGTTTGTCAGCAATGTGCTACTTACTCTTTGAAATGTGAAAAAGACCCAAGCATCCACTCATTGAGAGCAAATGTTCAGCAACAAAATGAGTGGAGATAGAAGTAAATGTTCTCCAGGCCAAAACAAAACAAACAAACGAAAACAAAAACATAGAGAAAAAACTTGATAAAGAAGTAAGCCGTGGTCTAGGCTTGTGGATGTGAGGAGAGGTTGGGGAGGGCAGATGAGAACAGAGAATAAGCAGAAACAGGAAGGAGAAAATGAAGCCTAAATGTTCATTGGATCAGGCAGAATTCCTTCAGCAAGGTAAATTATGCTTGTTTGGGAAGAGTACTTGTTTAAAGTTTAAAGTGAATAGAAGAGCAGTTTACAAATAAAGTTACGTATTTCACTTTTATTGGTCAATAATACTTTCTGATATGAAAAATATCAAGTGAAAATTAATTTATTAAGACAAAGACATTAAAAATCTGAGTCATTTTTAGAGGAAGTTATAGAAACTATCTCAGTGGTAATACTATTAATTTACTTAGTATACTGTTATTTTACAGTTAAAGGATTTAAAGTGTCAATCATGAAAGTAACTGGAAAATAAGCACAAAGCAAGTTAAATAAATTACTTATGTCCTTATTTATCTTTTTTAGTGAGCACACCAGAATGAATTTATTCGAATGGAAGTTATCCATCCTAGTAGTAACCACATCAGGAGGGCTTATACTTGTTTCTGTCACAACATCACTGCTGAAAACATTTAGTGACTTTTAAGTGACAGATGAGTTAAGAAGGTTTATAAATCAAAGGGAGCGTAAAGAGTTTAGCTACCGCTAGTTTTTCGATTCCCAAATAACATATACTCCAACTTGACCGGTGACCTTAATATTCAGTCTTAATTCATAAAAACTTTTTTTTTAAATATTGCACTCACTCTCAAAGGAAATCTGCTATCATGAAACCTATTAAAAGAACGTGACACTGTCTATAAGGGAGAACACAAATATGTTTTCAGTAACTGTTGCATTATTGAGATTCCTATATAGCTCACTAATATCACGTCTTTAAAAGGAAGACACCCATGTACTATATGTTTGGGTATATTTGATAAAATGCTGAAATATTCAGACCTTATGAATGTAATTTAATTTGACCAAGTAAAAAAATGTGACTTATTAAACTTTAGGACAACTCATAAGGTAATTCTCAGTCCAATGAGAGTTATAGTTTCCTTACAGTAAAATTTTCCATAAAACTAGTCCAGAAAGAAGTTAACCGAAACAGAAAATGAGTATTTTAATACTGAGCATGTACCATTCAATGTTCTTATAACAACGAACATAGGACCATAGGACATACTATATATATGTGTGTGTGTGTATATATATATATATATATATATAT